TCGGCTGAAATGCAAAAGCTTCCAAATGTGAGGTGACACATTAGATATGAATATACGTTAATACATTAGTATAATGGATTTCATAATGACTTGTGAATTCTAGGTGACCCTTAAACTAACATGTTTTGGCCTTGGCATGGTTTTCCTGGAATATATCATCCTTCAATATCTTTCTCGCAGATACATCTCATTTGATTTTCATCATGTTTGTGGGAGTGCGAAATTCAATAACTAAGAAATTCTCTATGATCAACTCTCAGAGGAATTTGAAAAGCAAGGGTAAAAGAAAAAACAGAATTGTATTCATAAACTAGATTGAATAGTATGCCAGAATCCTGGTATGCTAGCTGTATATAATTCTGTTGTTAATCATTTATATTCCAGCTGAGCAGATACTTCCTCATAGACACAGAAGGAAACATCTAGCAGGAGCAGTAAGGGATTATTAGTTAGGACTAACTGCATAGATTGCCTTGATCGAACAAATGTGACTCAGGTTTGTAGACAATAATGTATTAGCGTGGTTCCTTTTCTTTTGGTCCATCTGATCTTGGATTTACAAGAGGCAGTACCAGCAAATATATATTGTTATCTGGGGCCAGAAATGCCTTGATATCTATTTATGTTTTAAGCAAATTTCATTCTTTACTTTTTGCTCCTTTTTTTTCGGTTTAACAGAGTTACCTGGCTCAGAAGACTTTAAATTTACAATTGCAAAGGGCTGGGATACTTACTTCTACAGAATGTATTTCCGTGTTTAGCAAAGATTATGGAAAGTTCTCAGAACCTGTATGTAGCTTTTCATTCTGGTGCTTTAAGTATGCTATCCTTATTATCACAGAATTGGTATTGTCTTTTGCTTCATCCTGTATTCTTTTCTCTGAGCTAGTGTGGGCGGAGCATGGTGATGAGATCAGCCTTGAATATACAGGGACCTATGCACTGAAGGGGGACCTTGTCAGGTATTTGAGACGTGAATATTATGTTTCCAAGAATCAGCATCTATTCATATTCCATTGTTTGATGCTTTTATATATTGGTACTGCAGATATGGAAAACAGATCTTAGCTGGAATAATCAAAGATGGGATGAGTGCTTTGTCGACATATTATTTGAACAACTTCCAAGATGAAATCCGGTAGGCAAGCTGCCTCTATGTCTTTCATCCACTGAAATTAAAGAGATCCAAATTTATTCATTGAACAGAAAATTGCTCAAATTGTTTCATGTTTCTCAGGATGCATTGGATCTTGTAAGTGGTCGCTATATGGTCAGTAGAAGTAATCCCTCACCATTCCAAGTTAAACGATTCGAATCCTCCTCAGTATGCATTCCTGTGCCTACTTGCTTCTTGAACAGTTCACTGAGTTATTACTCCTAATTAACTTCTTGGACTACTTGAAATTCGCAGTATCTTCCAGTTGCATCAGCTTTGCTTATTGGAGGTTTGACACTGACATCCTTCACAATTCAACAAGGTACCTCCTTTCCAAATATTAGGTTATAAATTATAATGCCAGTCAAACTTTTCTTGTTTCTAATATATTCCTTCCTTTTTTATGCTTTCTAAGAATAACCAAAACCCTCCTGCTCCCATGTACAGCTGGCCGAAATGCACAGCAATACATGTCTTCCATGATCTGGGCTGGAGTGACTGCAGGAATGGCGGCACTCGTCAAAGCCAACGGAAGACAATTTTCTCCAGACCTCGCTTGTGTGGCCTGTTGTAAAACTCTCTAACCTTCTGGAAACTACGGTTCTGAAAACTGTACAAAAATGTTGTATTTTGTTGGTTTCGATTGAAACGTATTTCACAGAGTAGTTAATTGGTTTTGCTAGCATCAGGGGATTGGGTGGTCCTCTTAGACCCAGGGTCGTCCTAATTTGTAGAAGCTAATCCATTATTTAGTTAATAATAATCCATTAAAACTAGGCAAATTATTGGCTGTCAAAGTCAGCCACAGCCGCTCTCCTCCCCACCACCAACCACCGGCAACCACCGACATCGGCACGAGCACCGCGCCTCGGGTTCAGCTGGTCTAGCTAATTAAACCATTGGCATGAGATGGGTCCTGCTTTCTAAAATCCACGCGAATGACTTGGCTTCCCTTTGCTCTTCCAGTTGGCAAATTCAAGACGTGTCACCATTCCATTATGACAACAGGAAAGTGTAAACTTTACAATAAATGAAACAAAACCAAAACTCCCCCTTCTTCACCTTTGCTTGCATGTTTTCACTTTTCTTGAAAGTTAATTTTCCATCCGTAAAACGTGGACCCAAATCATCCTCACGGCCCTCACCTCACGACAAAACCCACCGAACAAGTCTACTCAGCACTCCATCTCCCCGTCTACAAATAAAAACTCACCTGTTGTCTCCGCTTTGCCCTCTCTTTCTGTTCTTTATTTGGGTTTGATTTAACGCAAAAGACAGCACCATTCACGGTTCATCCCCTCTTCCCTTCTCTTGCAAACTCCAAGAAACAGAAACAGTACTAATTATAGGCTTATCTTTTCTATCTCTATGACCATTTCACATGGACTCAAAACCAGCATCTCAAAGAAGAGAATACTTTCCCACTACGCAATAAACAACGTCCTCAACTTCACATCTCCACTTTTGCACCTCTTTAGCACACTCTCATCATCTTGCTCTGTTTTCTTCTTTGTGGGTTTTCTATGACTGACGGGGACAGAAACAGAGCCAATGGTGGTGGCAGGGGCAGCCGCGAGATGATTGTTGGTTCTTTCACGACGTTCTTGAATGGCTGGCTTGGGAGGCAGCAGCAATACCTTGATGAGCTCCTGTCTGCTGAACAATGTACTTATGACCCTCCTTATGACAATCTCAAGGACCTTATCTGCCGCGTCCTCGCTCATTATCAGCAGTACTATGAAGAAAAATCTCGGATGGTGCAACGAGATGTGTTCCTTGTCTTTTGTCCGACGTGGTTCTCTTCTTTTGAGCGTTCCTTGCTTTGGATCGCTGGGTTCAGGCCGGCGCTGGCATTCAGGCTTGTGTCTGACAATGTCTTTGATCTGTCTCAAGAGCAGAGTGAGTGCATGCAGAGGTTGATTGTGGAGACGAGAAAGGAAGAAAAGATCCTGAATGATGAATTGGCAAGGATTCAGGAGAGCATGGCAGGGCCGCCTCTGCTGGAGATTGCAAGACAGCGGGCGCAGGCTGTGCGGCTAGGTGAGAGGGAAATTGCAGAAGAGGCAGCCAGTCTAGACACGTTGAGGAAGGCAATGGAGGAGGTGGTGGCGAGCGCAGATATGCTGAGGATAACAACAACGGCCCGAGTGGTGGGTATATTAAACCCAGTGCAGAAAGCGAGATTCTTGACTGCAGCAGGACAGCTGCTGCTGGCGGTTAGGAGAATGGGGTCGCAAAAGGATGGTGAGAAGTAATCAGGCAACTGAAACAATGATCATTATATAATTAGCATAATATCCTACATTAGTTTAAGGAATTTTTTGGAAATTTGGAACATATAACGGCTATTACTGAGTGTATTAGTCCATGGCAGGTAGCTCTAGATGCCTGCCCTTTTGTATTACATCCATATAGATGTAAATATGTTATATATTTGTGGGCTGTTGGTCTCTGGTAGAACACAAACATAAGGCTATCACAACGAGAAGCAGCAGAATGGAAAATCATTCATTCTCCTGTTGGTCCATAACACTGCACTTTTATTACAACTGAGCAACACTTTATGCAAAGTTTACTTATTCTTTAAGTATATATCAACTTTGTTCTGATTCATTTCACATAGCATAATTCTTTGCTAAGGAAGGGATCCCTGTGTAGAGGGTGGGTCGGACAGTGTACTGGTCAAAGGCGGCTTCTCTTGCTCAAAGTAGGTGGCCTCAAACTGGACAAACCGGTGATTTCCCTACCAGTCACCAAGCTGTTAATGTCATAAGTGCCTTCATATGTGTAGATGGGTTCCAAATCACAGAATGCCTGCAATATATGACCAGAAAAGATAGGAGGTCATTTAAAGATTTCACATGGGAAGAAAAAACAGCAGAAAGGGAACTGAGGATGCTTCTGTGAGTAGTACCAAAGTTCAATGAAAGAATTCACTACATATCACCTAGTTGCACATTAAAAGATTGAATTCATGAAGCTTCCATCTTTTCGATGAAGCTCACTAAAAAGGCAGACCTTGGAACTGTCAGGTCCCTGATTTCAAATCTCATGGAATGTGAGTTCTCCACTCTATATATAGGCTGTTGCTAATGTAATGTTAGGATTAATTGATTTGTGATTTCATAATCAGTTAAGCGGAGTTAACAATTAAAATGCAACTGATGATGATGAAATTGTAATATGTATTCCAATGAAAAAACATTCAAGGACCAAATATTCAGTACATAAGTCCATTAAAACTGAATATTTGAAAGCATTTTGTTGCATTTGAAAAGAACTTCAGGCTTGGATAATTAGATTTGTTTATCAAATTCCACACTGATCTATAATCCAAAAGGTTAAAAGAAGTATCAAATGAAGAAATAAGCATGTACCTTTGCAACTAGAAAATCAGCCAAAATTCCATTACCACCGAGTAACTCTCGTCCTAGAGAAACTGTTTCTCTGGCCCTCAAGGTGATCCACGACTGAACATTGAAAAAGTTTGTCATGCTAGGAAGAACAAAATAAGCCATTAAAAGCTTTGAAGGCTTTTATATCTTAGTTGGTGTACCTTTCCCAAGCTGGCTTGACCTGGAGTCATTTTGCCACTCTCATACAACTTGCAAAGACGCCAACCAACAAGAAACATTGCTTGTACATTGCCTAGCATTTGAACAAGTTTCTGCTGATTAAGTTGGAAAGCAGCCAGTGGTGCTCCAAACTGTTTCCTTTCTTTCAGATACCTGTAACCCATAGAAAATGTCAGCCGGATCACAGTTAGAGCTTAAAATTTCATAACATATATAGGAGAAAATATAGCTCACGTCATACCTGTGACACATGTCATAGACACCCATTGATATGCCAATAGGTTGCCAAGCAACCATGACACGTGAAACAGCCAATACCTGCTTCCAATTGTAGCAATTAACATGATATCTTTCTCAACCAAGCTCACAATCTTAGGGATATTTAATAAAAAAACAGTTCTGTCAACAGAGTAGATATCTCAACCCAAATAGAAAAGCATAGATATTTAGGGGAGAGGTCCTGGACTTGAAGGAGTTCAATAGAACTGCACCTTGTTTGTATCATGAAAAGAATTGACACCAGGTATCCTGTCCTCATCGGGTACAAAGACTTTCTGCAAGAGAATATCTCCATTTTGAACAATTCGCAAACCAATCTTGTTTTCTATTTTGGTAACTGTCAATCCAGGTGCATCCTTCTTTACTATATATCTGCAACAGAGAGAAAAACCCTTTGTCAATGGATGAAATGAATCTTACCCATCCTCATGCTGCCTCTTCTATCTCATACTTAATTTGATCACACCAAGAAGGTCAAAAGGATTACAAAATAGAGTATCTCTCTTTCTTTGTTTTATAAAATCCTTAAATTCAAATGGATAAATGTTATTAATATGCAGTTTACAATTCTTCATTGTTATTAGATCATCAAGTTTTAGAGCTCCCAGTACTTCACAGTTGTTGGTACAGGGAAAGGAGACTGTACATCAATGGCAGAATCAATATAGGTTTTCTATCCTGGGTTCACATGAATCATATAATCATCCTCAAAATGTCTGTTAAAAGACAAGAAGGGCAGGCATTGGCTATATCTCTGTTGACCATTTTTCCATACATTGTGGAGAGCAAGACCAAAAAGTTCTTTGCAATGTATATGCTATCTGATACAGCAATTCTCTGAAATGCAAAACTAACTTACCCATTTATTTCATTTGTTGTAGTATTCCTGGCAAAAATAACCAACACATCTGCAAATGTACTGTTTCCTATCCAGCGTTTTTGGCCCTCAAGGATCCAACCTCCCTTCACCTGAGCATTCAATAAGACAACAAGATGACATAGAAAAATATTTAAAATTGTCAACCACTTGCATAAAATAATGCATAATTAAAGAATGAACACAAAGGTCAAAGTAAGAGGTTAAAGGCTGGACCTTTGTTGCGGTTGTCTTCAGGGCACTTGCATCACTTCCATAGTCAGGTTCAGTTAAAGCCTAATAACAAAAAATCATAAAACCATTCAGTTCCTCAACTTCAACAGGATAAAGATATAAAAAGATGTCTCAGAAGTTAAGCAACAACAAGAGCAACATACCCAACAAGCTATGGTTTTAAACTGTGCCAAAGAAGGTAAATATTTTTGCTTCTGTTCCTCTGATCCACACAGAGCTAGTTTTGACAGTCCAGAAAGCCATTAAGTTAACAATTTATTACACAAATTTTGTTGTTATAATCAATCACAATTCACAAGAAAGAAAAGTAGGACAGCTGGTAATTAATATTCATGGAATCAGAGATCTCACCTATAGTGAGCATGGCCAAAGAAGAATGAACCAATATGAAAGTAGAGCAGCTTGCATCAACTCTAGCAACCTCAGCCGTTGCAATTGCATTTCCAATAATGGAGTGACCAGGACATCCATAACCCTGAGAGAAAGAATTAGCTTAGCATTCAACCCCCAACACCTCCACCTCAGATTCACCCAAAGAACAACCAATGTTTAAATTACTTTGATAGTTCCACCAGCAACACGGAGGGCACTGAGTTTTGGGACAACTTCAAATGGGAACTCTGCCTTCTCCCAATACTGAGAAAAAACTTGCAAATCAGTTGCTTTTTTCATGCACACATGTTGGTAATTCATCTAAAGACATCTTCTCAGCACAAGAACTGAGAAAGTGAGAACTGGGAATTTTACCTTTGTCATTATTGGAGCTACTTCTTTCTCCATACACTCTCTTACTCTCAAACGGACAGCCTGCTCCTCAGGAGTCAACAGATCATCAAAAAGAAAATAATCCGAGGCTGCCAGAAAATTGAAAGCAAAACAAATAAGAATGAAGACAATATCCTATAAATCAAAAAAGTCAACACTTTTCATGTCCTACTAAATTATCAACAATGAATAACAAAAACCCATTTTTCCTTACTGCAAGGAGGAAATGTTGATCCCGGAGTTGCTTGAGGAAACGCAACGGAAACATCCAGCGGAGGTAAGTGAAAATAAGAACTCCTTGGTGCTTTGTCGAAATCATCTGTGACAACAAAAGAAGTAAAAGAATGATATCCATTGACAGCTCCACTGCAAATCAGCTCTCTAAGAAATAAAAAATTTCAATCTCAAAAGACAGAAATTTCTCCAAATTTAAACAAACCAAAATATACGTGAACAACCTTGGAAGAAATTTATCTAAATCCACAGAAGGAGACAAGGCTAAGGAAAAAAATATAGATTCAGAAATTAATATATAAATTGGTCAGAAAGGTGAAAAAGCAAGCACCTTTGTGATTTGAGTGAACCGTCATGGCGATGAAGAGCGGAACCGCGGAAGCAGAAATCTGAGATTGAAGGAAGTGGCGACTTTGGGAGGGGGAATGGGAGAGACGTTATATTATTATATTAGTAATGGAGGATAATGTTGACACGCATGCAAATATACATTATAGTTTTTTTTTTTTTTTTTACCAGAGTAATAGTTAATAATTAAATTAGGAATTGAATCAGCTTTTAACCACAATAGTTCGATCCCAAATTTTAAGAGTTTGGGTGAAGTAATCAGAGTTTCGAATTTCATTATCATCAAAGTTTCGAGCTTTATTACCATCATAAATTCTACTAAAAAATATCTAATACTCGCACACTTCATTTGAGGAGTGAAATGTTCACCCAATCTGAGAACTAATTACTAACAATTAATTTATATTAATTTTTTAATCATTATTTTATTAAAAAAAAATTAAAAATTATTAACAATTGAAGATTCAATCTTAAAAACAGATGATCTTTCACCTCCGTCGTTTAAACGCACGACCCGTCGGATCGTATGATGAAGTTCATATAACATTATAGTTTAATTTAGAGCAATTTCATAATAATGGTTCTCTCTTCTCTCTGACTTACGCGCCTCCACTTATTAATAATATATAATCAATATATTTTTTAAAAATTAATTTATATCAAAATTATAAAAATTAATATTTATTTTAATATTATGACATGTAAATAATTTTAATTAATTAATTTAAAATTAAAACTTATTATTTTTTTATAAATTAATTATAAAATAATACATTAATTATACTACTTAACCTATATCTTAAGATAATAAATTAGAAAAATCCTTTTATAATTGGATCAAATGAATAAATATGTATATATGTATTAGAAAAGTGGATATCAACCGGTATTATAAAAATTTAAGGAAAAAATATTTTAAAATTACATTATTTTAATAAATTATTATTAAAAAAACTAAAATATATTAATTACTTTTAAAGTATAGATGAAAATGTTTTAATTTTTTTGTAATATTTTATTAAAAGATGTAATTTTAAAGTATTTTTATATTTATTTATTTTTAGATTCAACTCATAAATATTAATCTCTACATATATTACTCCTTTTGTCTATTTTTTGTACACCTAGTTTCCTATTTGAGATTTTTAAATTTAATTGTTTATTTTTTTAAGTTGTCATCTAATAAGTTTATTTCTATTTTACTCTCATTTAAAAAAAATAATTATAACATATACTAAATAAAAAATTTTATTTAAGTAATACTTAATTAAAAATAAATATAAAATTTTATCAATAAATTATCACATCTTTATTTTATTGAAAAAACTAGATATACTAAGAATGAATAAAGTAATTATCATAAAAAAAAAGTATATGTCAATTTTAACTTTCAAAATAAATTTGAATTTGAATTGATTTATTTAATTAAAATTCAATTTAAAATTTAAAATTTTATTTTATTAAATATTGATACTTAGATTTAAAAACTAATTATATTAAATATTGATACTTAGATTTAAAAACTAATTATATAAGTATATAATTAATTTTTAAATCTAAGTATCAATATTTAATAAAATAAATTTTTAAATTTTAAATTAAAACTTTAGCCTCTAAATATAAATTGAGATTTTAACTTTTTCTAAAAAAAATTAAAGTTAATACACACTAATCTCAATTATTATTAATTAAAAAATTAATTACATAATAATACATGATTTTACGTAACATTTTAATTAATTATTTATTAGTTTGCGAAATAAAAAGGTTGGATGAAAATATTTTTTTATCTTTTTTGAGGGTTACTATATAATGTTTTTAAAAAATTGAGAAGAATTAAGACGTATTAATAATTAAAATATTAAAATTAATAGTAAAACAATTAAGATATTTTAAAATATAAATTTTTTTTAATTTTAATTGCATAATGAAAAGTAACAATCTTTTATCTTTTATTATATTTTACTCGTATGTTATATAACTTGAATTGAAAATATTTTATTTTTAGTAAGAGAAAATAATCATTAAATTACTTGTTGGCTTAAAATATAAAAATTTATTAAATATATGTATCTTAATTATATAATGAAAAGTAACAATTTCTTATCTTTTATT